TCGAGCTCTTACAACTTCACCGTCCTCAGGCTGGGACGAGAAACAAGACCCACATATCGAACTGTATCCAATCAGACACCAATTAACCTTTCTGCAAACCCCACTCCCGGATTTGTTTTCGTTCTAGTCCGAAAAGGGATACAAAGTAAACAACAACGCGCCTGGTCTAAAGAGGTCGGCTCGAAACCAGCGCGTTCTCCACATCTTCTTTGCTTGCACCAGCCCAGCCCACGAGCGTATCTTGATCCTTCTTTACCACCAACAATAAATCCAGCTGCGAAACGAGGCGAAGCGATACTGTTTACGCTCTAAACAGAGCGACCGCTTATCATCTCTGGCATGATCTGCCTCAATCCTACGCAGCATTTCTAGAGCTCAACCGCAGTCCACAAACTACCGCCATCATGCCCGACTTTGGCGGCGGCGCGCTCGACACCCCACGAACAAACATTGGGGATGCCACCTACCTCAGTCGACAGCCCGACTTTGCCGACATTTCACAAGAGGCGTCTTTCCAGTCACCAGTCAAGGAGGGCAACCTCCTCCAACAACTTCGCAATGGCCGCTCCAACGGCATCAACCTTCGCACCCCACGTCAGAGAGGTCCCTTGGCCGACCGCAGAAATCTTCCTCCCAGTGTCGGAGGCGCCGAGTTTACACCTTTGCTTAAGTCGGCCACGAGAAACAGCGTGCGACGATTCGGAAAAGAGAATGGCAACAACGTGCCGAACACGCCTTCATTAGACAGAATCGATGAGGGCGACCTCACTGCTGTCCCACGCGGGGACACGTCCATGTACACAGGGTCGCGCAATCAGTCCTATATGGAAAACACAATCCCCGAGATCGACACCACCAGCGCTGCCTCAACACCAATGGCGATTCCTCGGAGGAGAGGAGGCGATAAGGGCCCTCTCCAAGACGGCAACCAGCTGTCGCTTCGGGAACAAGAGAATGTCATTGACAGGATCGAGAAGGAAAACTTTGGTCTGAAGCTCAAGATTCACTTCCTCGAGGAGGCGCTACGGAAAGCAGGGCCTGGCTTTAGCGAAGCCGCCCTCAAGGAGAACACCGAACTCAAGGTCGACAAGGTCACGATGCAGAGAGAACTCCACAAGTACAAGAAGCATTTGACGACTGCCGAGAAGGACCTCGAGAGTTACCGCCAGCAGATGCTGGAGCTTCAAGACAAGACCAAACGAAAATACAGCGATCAGAGCCAGCAAGCAGAGATGGACAAGCTACGACAACTAATAGATGATCGTGAAGCAGACATTGAAGATCTTCAGCGTCAGCTTGACCAACAACAAGGAAACAACGACCAGGTCGAGAAGTTGCAGGACGACATCGGAGACCTAGAAGCCGACCTCCAGGAAAAGGACCGATTACTTACCGAAAGAGAGGACGAAGTCGAAGACCTCAAGGAAAAGATAGAGAACCTCAAGGACCAGGTGGATGAAGCGGAGCAAAAGGCCAAGGATACCCAGCGCAAGATGCTTGCACTAGAGGAAAAGTCTCAGCACAGTGACCAGGTCGAAAAGTTGCAGGATGACATCGGTGATTTGGAAGCCGATATCCAGGAGAAGGACCGACTACTTACCGAACGAGAAGATGAAGTGGAGGATCTCAAGGAAAAGATGGAGGGTCTCAGGGATCAGGTGGCCGAAGCAGAGAAGAAGGTCAAGGATACTCAGCGCAAGATGCTAGCGCTAGAGAGCAAGGCTGATCATAGCGATGAGCTGAAGGACGCTCAGCGCAAACTGATGGCGCTAGAGGAAAAGGCTCATGACAACGATCAGCTAAAGGATGAGCTCAAGGACGCCAAGGAGACGATTCAGGGTCTAAAGCAGAGCATGAAAGAAAACCTGGACCGGTCGAATCGGGAGACGCAGCATCTTCAGAGACAACTTGAGGATGTTCAAGAACAGAAGACTACGCTCGAAACAAAGCTGAAGGATTTCAGGAAGCAGGCTGAGGACATGGTGGAGCAACACGAGATGGATCTCGACGAACTACGACACCAGCTTGCAGATGCTGAGAAGCAAAAGTCTATGCTCAAGAAGGTCCTCGAGGAGGCTACCGGCCCAGAGTCTCAGCGTCTTCAGAGGCAACTTGAGGACCTCCAAGAGCAGAAGTCGACGCTCGAAGCAACGATCAGGGAGTCCAAGAAGCAGGCCAAGGATGTGGTGGCGCAACGCGACTTGGAGATCGATGAACTCAGACATCAACTCGCAGATACCGAGGACCAAAAGTTGGAGCTCGAGGCAGCGCTGAAGGAATCGAGGAAGCAAGTCAAGGAGATGGCGGCACAACACGACATGGATCTTGATGAACTGGAACATGAGCTTGCAGAGTACAAGGATCAGAAGTTGGAGCTTGAAGCAGCGTTGTCGGACTCCAGGAAGCGGGTCGATGAGTTGATAACGCAACACGAACTGGATCTTGAAGAACTGAAGCATCAGCTTGCCGGTACCGAGGACCAGATGCTCGAGGCAGCGATGAAGGACTCAAGGAAGCAAACCAAGGAGATGCTAGCGCGACACGAGCTGGAACTCGAGAAACTCAAACATCAGCTCGCAGATGCTGAGGACCAGAAATCGATGCTGGAGAAGTTCCTCGAGGATACCAGGCAGCAGGCCCGAGAGGCTCGAGATACCTCGGCGCAAGACAAGCGAACCCTCCTTGAGTTGAAGCATCAGCTTGCAGATATCGAAGATGAGAAGTTGGAGCTTGAAAGGCTCCTCAAGGATGCTGGGAAGCAGCAGACTCAAGAGATGTCAACACAGCACAAGCGGACTCTCGACCAAGTAAGGCGTCAGCTTGCTGATGCTGAAGAGCAGAAGTCGGAGCTTGAGGAGCAGAAGTTGGAGCTCGAGAAGCTCCTCAGAGACGCTGGGCAACAACGGTCTCAGGAGGCGACAACACAACACAAGCGGGCTCTCGATCAACTAAGGCGTCAACTTGCCGATGCTGAGGAGGAGAAGTTGGAGCTTGAGAGGCTCCTCAAAGACGCTGGGCAACAACGATCTCAAGAGATGACAGTGCAACACAAGCGAGCTCTCGATGATTTGAAGCGCCAGCTTGCAGATAGCGAGGAGCAGAAGCTCGAGCTCGAAGGGCTTCTCAAGGATGCCGGAAAGCAGCAAGCTCAGGAGATAGCGACACAGCACCGACGAACTATGGATGAACTGAAACGCCAGCTTATGGATACCGAGGACCAGAGGTTAGAGCTCGAAAAGCTTCTTGAGAATGCTGGAAAGCAACAAGCTCAAGAGATGGCGACGCAACACAAGCGGGCTCTCGACCTACTAAAACGTCAACTTGCCGATGCCGAGGAGCAGAAGTTGGAACTTGAAAAGCTTCTCAAGGATGCCGGACAACAACAGGCTCAAGAGATCGCGACCCAGCACAAGCGAGCTCTCCTTGAACTAAAGCACCAGCTTGCAGACAGCGAGGAGCAGAAGTCGGAGCTTGAGAAGTTCCTCGAGGACGCTGAGCATCAGGCCCAAGAGGCAGCAACACAACACCGCCGGGCTCTCAATGAGCTAAAACATCAACTTGCGGACACAGTGGCACAACACGAAATAGATCTCGACGAGGCCGGACACCAGGCTCGAGAGATAGCGACGCAACGCGAGCGAGCTCTCAACCAACTGAAACGCCAGCTTTCCGATACGGTGGCACAACACGAACGGGATCTCGAGGAGCTAAAGCTTCAGCTTGCAGATGCTGAGGACCAGAAGATGGTGCTCGAAGAGTTCCTTGAAGATGCTGAGCAGCAAGCTCAAGAAGTGGCAACACAACATGAGAGAGCTCTCCTTGAGCTGAAGCATCAAATCAGCAAGGTGGAGCGAGAACGCAATACCGCGGCGGTACAACAGACGGACACCATGTTGAACAAGCAAGATCGACAGGTACGAAAGATCAAGGCGGAAATGGAGAACCTGGAGCACGACGTCCTCCAACAACAGGAGCTCATCGACAGCCTCAGCGCCTCAGAGGCCTCACTCCGCCGCAAGCTTGAACGAGCGCGCAGCGAACGAGCCGCCTTCCGCATGAGCGCCGAGAAGCTGCAGAAGGACCTCGAGCGCATCAAGGCCACAGCCGTCGCCGCCAAGGCTGAGGCTTCGGAGCGACGACGCTCGGCGGACCTCAAGACTCAGGAGACTATCGACGGGGCAGACCATGCTCTGGAGACGGTGATCCGAGCGGCCGAGAGCGCAGAGGAGCGTCACAAGAAGGAGCTGCGAGGCGTCGTGATGCAGATGGAGTGGATGCAGGCCCGTTTCAAGCGAGAGGCTTCTCTACGAGCTGATGCTGCGTATGCGAAGAAGTTCATCCAATTACAGCTAGACATTGCCAACGCTTGGTACGTTTTTCTTTTACCCTTCCCCTTTAACTCTGTACTTTTGCTAACTCTCTCCCAGCAACAAAGCTCAACTTCGAGAACTCGAGGATATCCGGGTCAACCTCCTCGGCAACAAGAAGGCTCTCTCCCTGCCGAGCCACGCCACTTCTTCTACATCAACCACCAAACCAACTCTCAAAACATTCCTCGTCATGGCACGCTTCATTGCTCGCGCCCGGTTGGCAGCGAAGGATTGGGCCAAGCAGGAGACTGTCCGAAAGAAGCTCGTAGCCGCCAAGGAGGAGCAGCGCAAGGTGAAGCGATCCCGTCAACTCAAGGTTGTCAGGGCCGAGGCGTAAAGACACGATTACATATATCCTGTCATAAAATGGCAGGAGGAAAAGCGAAACTGTATTGCATTGCATGGTTGAGGGTGTTTCAAGGTGGAATAGGAGGGATTCTTGTCTTATTAGTTTGTTTCTTTCTTTCTTTCGAGCGAGTCCTTGATAGGGAATGGAATGGATTTTGGGCGGTTTGGGTACGGGTGTTGTTATGGATACCAACCTGGGACTGTTTGGAGACAAAGCGAGTTAAAGCATCAAGAGACACAGACACAGACACAAGATGAATGAATTATCAATTTTTATTCATTCATTCAAAAAATGTTGGAGTCTTTTTTTCTTTTCATCCATCGCTGTACGAGAACCGAACCATATAAACATGAGCCCACAAGACGACACCCATCTTGAGAAACACATCAAAACAAGTCATCAAAAAAAAAACACAACTAACAAAAAACACCCAAGCTTTACAAACAGCCGCCCATCGTTATAAAAACCCCGCCGGCCTCATATTCCAAGACGTCGCTCAGTCAGCCTTTGTCCAACCAGTCAATCAATCCCCTCCATTGTTAAAAACACCATGCATTGATAAGGATGATGAACCCTTAGGCTCTTTTTAGCCCCTCGGAATTAGGAAAAAAAGAGTCAGGTAAGAGTATATAGGATTCTTATGGCTCATGGTTACTCCTAGCTTAGGGCTGCGATACATTGAGATGCTCCTAGGTAGGGAAACTCCCTACTCATTACATGACGAACAGCAGGTTCGTGTCTGGGTCAAGTTAGCACATGAACTGAGGAGAATTTTGAGTCAGACATACCGAGAGGGTGACTGCAAGACAGCTGAGGCTTCTGAGTGTAGCGTGTTGAGAGCTCGTCGCGGATGCTGTTGAGAAGCTGAACGTAGCTCTGCTGAGGGTTCTTCTTAAGCGCCGTAACAAAGGCCCACGACATGGCTCCGGTGGCCTGAGAAGCGATAGTAGCATCGGCACTGTAAGTATGGTTAGCAATTTGCTGCTGCTGGCATGAAATGAGGGTAAAAAGAAATCCCCAAGATCCTGCCGACCCAACGTAGCCCATCGCCCCAGATGCCAAATTACAGACTCGCAAGGAGGCTGTACTTGACATCTGGGGCGTGCCCGAGAATAAGAATATGAAAATCATTAAAAGCTAAGTACATCAAAGTCCAGTCTGAAAACGCCTTGCGCCATCGCTGACATGAATAACCGGGAAACCTGTCCCAGAAACAACAAGAGTGAAAATAAAACCATCAACATAGGACAGATGATCAAGCCGGGATCATCTGGTAAGTAGGGTATGATTGAGGAAAAGGGAGCACCCACGAAGTCTGATCGTCCTTGCTGCCAGACCACATGACAACGTCTGCCGGAGACGTCTTTGTCCGGAGGGCGCGGTCTCGGGCATCGTCGCCGTTGGCGGCCTTCTTGATGAAGCCAAAAATGTTGCTGGCGACGCCGCCCAAGTCGCCTTGGCTGTACGAGGAGATGACACCCAGGAGGCCCTGACCGGCTTCCTTGGCCAGGTTGGGCTCCTTGAGGATGCCCTGTGTCGAGTAAATGTAGGGAAGGTCGAGGGCGGTACCGGAGTGGCACGAGTCGAAGATGGCTGTCAAGCGAACACCGGACTGGAGGGGACGAACCATGATGCGGTGCATCTCGTCGTCGGTAATGTGGCCCGTCTGTCGGAAGTCGACGGGGTAAATGACCTCATCGTAACCATCGTCTTCGTCGCCGTCGAGATCCTTTGTCTGTCCACCATGACCTGCGATTGACTGTCAGCAAGTGTGGAGGGCCTCAGCCGCCATAGAGAGACATACCTGAGTAGTGGAAGAACAAGGAATCGTTAGGTCGGGCGTCCTTGACTAGCCAGTGCATGGCGCGCAAGATGTTTTGTTTGGTTGGCTGGCTCATGGGGTTCTGCTGATCATCTGTAAGGATCACCATGTCCTCCCGCTTGTAGCCAAAATGCTCGGAAAGGTAAGCAGTCATGTTGCGGACGTCATTGATACAGCCACGCAGCTGGCCGCGCTGGCCAAAGTAGTTGATTCCGATCAACAGGGCTTTTCTCCTGCCGGTGCAGTTGGAATATCTGAAGGCATAGCTGTTGGGGGCGCCGTGGCCGAACTGCTGAGGTGCTGAGGGAGGAGGAGGAGGGCCGCCGCTACCGCCTAAAGACTTGTTAACAATCTAATCGAGTCGTAGTCGGACATTGGGGGAATGAAAGACGTACCAGGTCGTGTTTGGTAGTTGGGCTGAGGTGGGTGCTGCTGATACTGGCCATACTGAGGCTGCTGAGGAGGGGGTTGCTGGTAGTATTGTTGCTGGGGAGGCGGTTGTTGGTGATAGCCGTAGGGCGGCTGGGGAGAAGGCTGGCCTTGAGGATATCCGCCGTAGGATGGTTGCTGTCTATCGAGGAAGCTTAGTTAGCGGGCAATGTTTGCAACAGAGACGGGAAGAAGCATCATGATCGGCAGGTGAGAATGCGGGGGATGGGGGCATTTTTTGGGCAGCGTCAGAGATGGGAAATGGAGAGTCGCACGGGTAATAATTGCCCTGGTATTGAGGCTGCGGCGGGCCGTATCGGCCAGAGTTGTAGCCCGGGTATCCCGACATGTCGGGGCTGTAGATTGCTTAAGCTGGAGGAGAAATGCGATTGAGGGTTAAAGCTGTCGAGGGCGGTTATCACGGCGCGGTTTGTCGGTCGGTCGATTGTCAGGCTCAGACTCGGTCGGGTTCGGGTTTGGTGGAGGTTGAGAAAAGAGTGCCGTGCCGTCGAGGACGAAGGACGGGGTCCTGGCAAGCTCAGCCTACCGTGCTGTACCTAGACAGGACAGGACAGGCGCCAAGAGGACGGGAAACGGCAAAAGGCGTGGTACTTGGCCTGGGACCGGATCTTGGCGTGGTGGTGAGGTACCCTTGGCTGGTTCTGGGCTGGGCTTTGGCTGGGGGGGTGGGCACGCGCGTGGAACCCCGTGAGCAGCGGGTGCGTGCGTGCGTACGTGATGCGACTTGACGCTGCTGATGGATGCTTGCGGGGCAGTTGCAGTTGCAGTTGCAGCAGCCAGAGAAGACGAGCCGAGGCGTGTCAAGAAGGGTCCAAAGACCAAGGGTTCGGCGTAGGTATGGAGACTTTGCTCGAGGCAGCTAGAGCTATCGAAGACACTGGCTGCTAGGTGTGGTGCACGGCCGTCCTTTGAAGCTGAAGGCGGGGGAGACGAGACGGTTTGATGGATGGATGAGAAAAGACGAGGAAGAGATCGAGGAGGGTCCAGAATGTTTAAGAGCAGAAGCAGTGTCCAAAGCCAAGAAGTGAGTTGTAGTAAACAGAGAGTAGAAAAGTGAATAAGCCAGGGGGGATGGGATATGAGGATAGGTGGATGAGTGATGAGGGGAGACGGGGAAGGGGGGGTGTGTGGTTGCAGATTAGGCGTCGACCTGATTATCCGGCCAAAGTCTGACGGGCGTCTAAGAGGTAGGTAAGGTTTATCTCAGGCTGGCCTCGGTTTTGTAAGAGATGCTGTAACTCTGGCAGAAGATATCTTGTGAAAGACTGAGACGAAACAATGTTCAGTTCTTGATGCTGAGAAATGCCGTATCCCGAGAGATGGAACTTTCTGGTGGATTTTTTTGCTGTTTCGGTCTCTTTTTTGGGTGTGTGTGTAATGATGACCAGAGGCGAATTGCTTGATTATGTGAGGAGAGAGACCCTGCAACCAGTGCGTCGAGTCTTGTAAAGTGAAGCTGTGAGAAGCTGCTGAAGAATGACAAGAAAGAAAGAAAAAAGAGAAGGATCTCGATGCCCTTTTTAGATCCAATATATTCCACAATCAAACAACATACATGAAGTCCTCTCTTTCTCTTTCCCTGCCCTGCCCTCCGCCGGGTTTGACAGCTTGGCAATGGAGGCACAGTTCAAGCGCCAGCCGAGACCCAAAGGGGAAATACGGCCGGCTCCCCATCGCTGGGAAGCGCCCCCCTCCCCGCCAGCTGATGGAGCACAGCAGCAGCAGTAAAAAGAACGGTGACGGTGGCGGTGGACAATACCTACAAGCAGCTAAACTACAGCACGTAACTTGGGCGATAAACCTACTCGTTCTCGTCTCGTCTCGTCCCGAGCAACCCCATCTAATCTGGGAAACCGGCACAGCCCTAAACGGTCTCCGTTACGGTTCAGCGCTCGTCTCCAGGCTGTGCAGGGATAGGCCTCCATCTAAAGAGTTCCAACTCTTATTGACGCAAGACCATCCGACCCGACCGACTGGGCCCCGGCCGTGATGCTCAAGTCTGTTCGCTGTCGTCGGCCAAGCGCGGATGAGACGGTTGCGTGACGTGATTCTAGTTCTTGGCCCATGTAATCCAATCCAATCCGTATTCTTCTCTTGCAGACAAGCAAGACTCGTGCACACATTCACTCACTCACATGCACTCGACTCGTGTTCTTTGTCGTGCCTGTTATTGTTGCTTTTTACACGTCAAATTCAGGTACAACGTCAAATCTCGTCTCAATCTGAATGGTTCCTTATTTGGCTGCCGTTATAGACAGGGTCGGTCTCAGCTCTACCGATCTACAACTACGAGATTCCCATTTCAGGACATATACACGCTCCTCCCCCAACGTAGCATCCGTTGAGATGAGATTGCGGCTCTTGCTTGCTTTTTGTTAAACCCAATTGCCGGTGTTGCGACCGTCGTCTCAAACCTCCGTGTCCGTCTGGTACATGGCGCCAAGTTCTCAAAACTCCACACAGCCGAGACCGCCCTAGGGAGAGAAATCTTGATCTCTTGACAGTGGCAGAGACAATGCCCCCCGTAGTGGCTTTGTCCTCGCCGTTGGAACCTCAACACCCCCATTTTCACCGACTCGCAGAGATTTTATTCTGCTGCCTTACTTCAATTGCTCGCGAATGTTGCAGAATGTAATCCCAGCAGCAGCGGACGACATTCCCAATTCATCTACAGCACGGGAGACCCGAACGGCACTGCCAACAGTTGCCATAGAGCTGCATCTGCATCGTGATCCCGGGGGGCAACTCATTCGTATCATGATGCTTCAGGAAGAAGATTTGCATCACCGTCCTATTGCCCTACACCCCCTTCACGACCCGCACACCCACCCGGTACGCCGGTAACTCGAAGGGAAGGGGCCTGGGGGCCTGTCTGGAAATGACCGTCATCTCATGACGACCTATGAAGATGCAGTGCAACATGGAAAAGCCATCTCGGTTGACAGACATCTGCTTCCCCCCCTGTTCACCTGGATAAGACGTCAACTTCACCCATCCCTGCCCCTAGTATGTCGTAGCCCTCAAGCATGCAGATCCAATCCGTAACCGCTGAATTACTACGTAGTATGTCTTCTTCGTGCCTGAGACGGACTCTTTTCTTGTCTTGCGCGTCTACAACATTCAAACCCCTGTCAGGCTGAGTCTGCAAGCTTCCGGCGCCGCTGCCCTAGCCGGCGCAACGGCGATCCCGATGCAGCTTGTGGACCAGGGTAGGTTTTTTTGCTGGAGTAGTGATGCAAGCGTGCTTGATGAGCAACAACACCAGACAGTAAACACGTATGTAGCTAATATCGCATCTTCCTCTGGGGCGCAAGCTTCTGCCAGGACGGAGATGTATTCTAAATTTGCAAATTGCGAATTCCGCAGCAACTCTTGGCTTCTTGACAAGCATTAACACGTGGATAGATCAAGAACGTTCGGTCATCTTGCGCCATCTCCGAAGCCCTCGCTTCTCTAGCCAACGATGACAGACCCGAGGACGGAAGGAAAAAAGTCTGAAGCGAAAAGCACGGCCGGAATTGCGCGCCCAGCAGGGGATACGTATCAAAAACCTCCAGGTCAAGGGTAGCGGCGTTGGCGTTCACGTTTGACTGTTACGACTCTGAAAGATAAAAAAGATGCAGAAGATGGCTGAAATTTTCCGATAGCCTCCCCGCTCACGGCACGAAGATCACCCCGAATAGGTTAGCACGACGGGCAAGCCGAGAGCTGAATAGGGCTCTACGACATGGTCTTCAGCCAATGGGGAGCTCTAGAGTGAGACTCAGCCGCCGGCGAAAAGCGGGGTGGTGGAGGAGCTAGGGCCATGCGTGGGGCTTTCCCGTGGCTTGATCCAGCGGAAGGAAGCTCGGGCCATGTCCCAAAGCAAGTGTGGCTGTGTGGCTTGTGACCGTTTTCGATATTCTGGGGCCGAACTTGGAGGGAGCGCTTTTCCCATTGTTGATGAGGTTGGGTTACTCGGAACCGTGCCCTTGGGACCTTGAGGGCCGAAAATGGATGAAGCAGTCGACTGTCATCCAGGATGCTGGGAACAGAGTTGGACATGTAAGTGCCTTCCCCAGATAATACTGAGCCACGTATACACACACTCACTCACTGTCTCTCTCTATCTAAGTCACATATCCCAAATCTCCACCAACATCTTCACATATCATATCAAACTCAGATACTCACCCTTCATCTCTTACTTCCCCGTCTCATCTCCGGGCTCCCTCAAAGCCAAGACTCTCAAGCACATACCAACGCGTCCTCGAATCTAGCACCAAACTAGAAACCTCCTCCGTACCCAATGCCACGCGGGCCTCCATCCTGAATAAGGTAGCCCTGCACCGGCACCAATGCAGCCACGCGTGCCCACCAACAGAACAACACCAACACCAGCACCAGCCGCAACCACCCCCAGATTCGCGACCTGACCTCAGCTTTGAGGCCATGCACACACCCTATGAGGCGGGCTGTTCTCATGTACATGTAGGTCCTCGACCACCCCCCCTGTGGCCCGCCTTACCCGCCAATCTGGCACGCTGCGGGAGCCAAGTTCTCAACGCATCGTGTCATCCCTGAGGCTCTTTATCTCCTCCACGTCCCCATCTGAGTCAAGATCCGCCCCCGTGGCATGCTGAACCGGACCTGACCGGCATTGCGTCAAATATCTTGTCCTCCTCTCAGCGTCTCCGAGTGTCTCATCTCTCTGCAGTCTCCCTGCAGAATCGTCACATCATGCCATCCAATCCTCGTGGCCAGAGTGGCTGTCCAGTTTGACCGCCAATCCCACGCCTTGCATCGTCTTCTGTTCCCAAGTCCCCGTTTCCCTTAGTTCCCGGCTTCCTGATGACCCGCGGCTGTGGTCCCCGGAACCCGTGCTGCGGTGTCATGTACTTGGACCCAACTTGATCAACACTAAGACACGCATCTAGAAGCACACATGCCCCCTTTTGTCCAAGTGTCTGATGACGTGCCGAACGCTGCAAGGGACACACGGCTCAGTCCCGTCCGGTCTGGGGATGATATGCTACTTCGTCATTATTGGTCCAGTGTGCTGACTCCATCATAACTCGTCTTGTCATCACGATTCTTAGATAGTGTATCAATTCTGACATGGACTTGCTGATCTTGATTCGTATCGATAATAAGTAGTTTCGTACAGGTAGACTAAATATACCCCAAGAGTCTTTTTCGCCGTGCTGTGTTTTCTCGTCTTCTCATGCTGGGCTTCAAGTAGTAAACAGACGCCCTCCAAAATGGTGTAGAACAAATGGCTCACATCCAACTCGAAATGTAGCCTGACAGGTTTCAAGCATTCGTCATACTGACATCCTCATCAGATCCGGTTTCCTTTCTCATCTGATAAGCCATCATCCCCCACACTAGCTTCAGAGCTTCCAGCCGTTGCTTGATATCAAACAGGTCGTACCAAGGGCTCCTCCACGCCTCCACCTTACCCCAG